TGTGTGTGTGTGTGTCTGTGTGTCTCACCTGATCGTTGTCGTCAGTTTGTCCTAAGTCTCTTCCGCTGGCCTGAGCGATCCTCTTCCCTGACACCAGATTTCCCACCATCACAGAGGCAGGTCCGATCTCTGCAGCTCACACACACACACACACGCAGTAATGAGCAACTGAGCCAGTGCAACACCTTCCCTCCAGAAAAACAAGGAACTCTGGGTATTCAAACAGCGCAGTCTCTCACCTGGTTGTTTCTGCCGTGGTTTGGGCAGGTTGGTGACGCAGGTGTGGGGGCACATGAGTACGTTGCAGGGGTGCAGCCCCCCCTCCAGGTACAGCTGCTTGATCTCTGACAGGTGGATCCCGCCCAGAGGAGTCTTGGGCAGCGTGTTGGCCGGGACCAGAGCGAGGCAGAACACACCCACGCCGTGGATACTGTCTATGGCCTGAGAGGGATGGAGGACAGTGGGATTATCATGTGATCGTCATCGTCGTCGTCATCGTACTCTTCCTCACGGTTTGCGAGAGGCGACCTACCTGCAGGACGCGGCTCATCCACTGGAAGCTGTCCTCCTCTGTGGAGTCGGGTCTCTGCTCGGCCACGACCACGATTCTCTCGTCCCTCAAAACCGTCACAGAGAACACGGCTATCCTGCAGGGACGGAGCAGAAACACCCGTCGACAGCGCTCATGGGACATTTTCTCTCCGAGGTCGCTTCTCGACACGATTAGAGCTGCAGCGATGAGTCAAATGATCGACTAGCTGATCGGATTTACTGCCTCACTTACAAACTTTGACTAAATTTCAAATACTAAGCCGCCAAGCAGTGACATAAATATCAGATATAGATCCGTCATCGCTCCCTGATGCCACCGAGGCTCTAAATTAGATCCGGACTGAGAAACCCTTCCTGCGTGGAGCCAGAGGTTTTTATTTAGCAGCAACAGGTGAGTCACTCCGTGAAACTCTGACAACATTTCATCAGTCCTGGTCTCAGTGGAGAGGCTCAGCTTCCTGTCTTCCATCATTGCAGCAATAAAATTCCAGAGAAAAGTAAAATATTACATCGCTATAGTCACACGGGTGGAAACCCTCGTCTCAACAGGACTAAATAATAAATAAATATCACCGGCTGCAAAAACAATCTGGGATTGTTTCAGACAGAGGCTGAAAAGAGGAGCTGCAGCAATGGACAGTTTGAGGAGAGAGACGTGAAGCTAACAAACTGTGGGACAGTTTCTAAATAAACTGTTGATCTACTTTATTCACTGTGAGAAGGAATCTGCTCATTTATCAGCCTGAGAGGAAAAGTCTGACTTCAACACGCTCTGGACTTTGTCCCACTCACCGTCCTCTGTAGACAAATTTCATTGGCTCCACCGCCAGCGCCGTGGCAACGATGTCGTCGGCGTTGTGCCTCCGCCCGCTCACCATGATGAGTCCGTCCATCTTGCCGGTGATGAAGACGAGGCCGCCGGGGCCGATGAAGCCCAGCAGGCCGGTCCGCACGAAGGCGTACTCGCTGATCAGCCCCCCGCCTGAGCTCACGGGGTAAACCTGCAAACACATAGGTGTTCAGCTGCGGAGTCGCCATGGCAACCAGCCAGCACTAGAGCTGCATGTCGGAGCCAGGATCAGATATGGTTGTATTTTTAACTTCACACTTTTCTATTGATAATGTCTCACTGCAGGTTTTAATGAGGCAGACGTGATGGTCAGACACATCCACTGATCATGTTATAACAGATAATGAGTTCAGAAACACACCTCAGCTCCAGAAGATTAAAATAAAAGAAAATTAAAATGGTTAAGATCAGAGATAGTAAAAGGATTTAAAGGTCTAAACATGAAAAATATCCTCATTTCATGCTTTTAAACATTTTCTTTTTCCTAAACTCTTGAAAACATGCCGGCCGCTTCACCTCGAAGGTGTTCTTGGTCATGCCAGTCAGGCCGTAGTAGGAGGTGCCGGTGGCGATGGAGCAAACGCAGAGTTCGCCGATCTCGTCCGTCTGACAGAGCTGAGGGACGCCCTCTGGCCTCACCACGCACACCAGACCTGGGAGGACGAGAGGAGAAAAGAAAAATGCAGGATTAACACCAGCAGTGACATTATTCATCCAGATGCACCTGTGGAGAAACCACGCGTCACATTTCTCAACTTCAGGATTTCAGTTTGAAGCAGGTTTGTTCTGACCCAGTTGAAACCTCCACTAACGTCTGCACGGACCAGAAACCAGGTGACTTCAGCGACTGTGGCTCAAACTGAACATCTGCAGCAGGTTCACATCCCAACGGAAGAATTAATGCCAGAATAATTTCACTGATGGTTCTGATTATGTTCCCGGAGAAACAATAATTCCACTGTTTAGTTTCCAGTGAGTCATCGACAAATGCCAGGCTCTATTTTCCAGATGTTGAATCTTCTCACTCACGACAGAGAAAACCTACTCGTCCGTTCCAGACAGACTTCGATTGAACCGACAGATTCATTAATTCAATGCAGTCTCTCTCTCAGGTGCAGTTCCCGTGACGAACAGTGGGTGGCGTGAGTTCGAGTGAGAGCTCAATTTGTGACAGCAATGTCTGGATTGGCTGTGGCAGCGTCTGCGTTTGATCAGCAGGGTTTACATGTTCTCCTCCGCAGATTACTGCGTCTTTATGGATTATAAAACACAGAGCGTCACTTCATCTCGACTGAATCCTATTTACAGAACAAACTCACTGCACAGTTGTGGAGACTAGCAGTTTTTTCTTATATGATCATTTCCATTGTGTTTAGTTTATATGTTATTTAGACAGAGAAAGTTTTGATGCTCTGACAAAATTAAATTTATAAAACAGTAAATTCAAATATATACATCAGAGCAAATACAAGAAAGAGGAATCGCTTGTTAAAAAGTGTTAAAAGTGCTAAATTGGAAATGAGGAGGTGATGTTGTATATTCTATATAAATTCTAAATATTCTGGGATGCAGCAAAACGCTTGTCTCCGATATTCAGTCCTAAAACTGGAAGTTGTTTGTTATGAATCACTTTGAGTCTATGACACTTTACCAGTGTTGCTGTTAACACGTTAATTATTATAATGGACTAAAACTCTCTAATGATTGAAGTGGAGAGAAAATGTAATAAGAGCAATACATTCGTTAATTGAAGTAAATATGACACACACACACACACACACACACACACACACACAGAGAGACACAAACCTCCTGGTGTGACGGTGCCGACGTCCTGCACGGTGAGAACAGAGAGGCGTTCCTCCGTGTCGACCCTGACGACCCCGTAGGTCAGACCCTGCATGGACAGGACACCTCGGCCCGGAGGCTGGCTGCTGTCCTCCACCGGCCTGGACACAACACACACACATTTTTATTTTGCATTTAAAGAGACTCCCTTTACCAGAGACTTTGAGCTTTTTAACTCTGTGGAACTTTTACAGTTTGAATATTCAATCAGTGGTTTGGAGATGAAATACTTTCTTTGTTTTATTTGATCACTCGGGTTCCTGTGGGTTTTATTGATTAAGAACTCTGTCACTCACTGCATTCTTCTCTGTGGACGTGTTTGTGTCAATGTGAACTTGCATATTTGTGATTCTGTGCCTGTTTGCATAATCTGTGTATGTAAAGTAGAAATGACTGTGTGTGTGTGTGTTCACCTCCTGATGGCCACAGTGAGGGCCTCGGGGGAGCTGGCGCAGGGACAGATGACGTCGGCTCTCAGCCCTTTGGTCTGAAACACGTTGAGGAAGGCGTCGCAGGAGGAGATGGACCCTGACGGACACAAACAGCCACAAACTGTCAGAACTGTTTCCACTCGGCTCCCGAACTTTGAATTTTTATTTAAAACGCAGCTGATCCATCACACCGAGCTGTTTCCTGTCGATTTGTTTTTCTGGAGGTGACATCATCTTATCACTGGAAAAATCTAACTGGTGGTGCATTTAAGGACGCTCCGAAATGAAGGATATCACAGAGCAAAAAAAAATTTAAAATCAATAGTTCTGTTTGATAGAACATTTGCAGCTCTGCAAGTTGACACTGAAATGACCTGAGACTGTCCAGTAACAATGATAAAACATGACATCATCTCTAAATCTGTAAAATATGCAAAAACATCCCTTTTAAGAATTACGTCATTCAGTTCCTGGTGTCTAATGTTAGTTGCTTCCACTCTAGTTAAAAACCATTTATTGAACCAGATGTGCTAAAGTTGCACGCGACTCTATTCCTGTGAAATGACCCAGATTCTCGAGTTTCCCCAGAGGATCCATCCACACCCTGAGATTCTCTCTCTCAGATACACCTGAGTGTGAGCTTACAGGGATTCGATCCGTCGGCCACCAGCAGCATGCGCAGCGAGCTCAGGTTGATGTCCTTCTGGTCCTTGTGGGCCACAAGAGCCCAGTGCATGTCTCTGGACTTCACACAGGCCACCTTGGCTGCAGGGGGAGGGTCCACACACACACACACACACACAAAATTAGCATTGAATCCATTTGACGGACAGCTGAATGGAGTGAACTGACTGAGCCAAGTGGCAGGTGGAGTGTGACTGACCTTTGTACTGGCAGACTTTCTGGATCCACGACAGAGGATTGACCTTCATCAGCGAGTAGGGCACGCTGATCACGTGCATCATGTTCATGACACTCTGCACAACACACAACCACAGACGCACACAAAAGAAGACACTATTTAAAGTCGCACTGCAGCGGCCGGCTGCACCTGCTAAAACTTCACTGTCGTGAAAAACTAAAATACACGATTGAACATGTGACGTATCAGAGAAATAATTGATTTGAATTAACAGAAGTGTTTCTACCCCCACCTCCAGATGGGAGGGAGACGAAGACAAAAGGAAACGAGGGTCATGATCTCTGACCTGCAGAGGGAGAATCTTACCGTCAGGATTCCGTGCCACAGGCCCACGTCCTTCTTAAAGTCCAGAACGTTCACTATGGTTTCCGCTACAGACAGAAGACCAGAGAAAAGATGATCAGGAGCTGCGTATGTATCTGTGTGTGTGTCTGTGTGTGTATGTGTGTGTGTGCATACCCTCCGTGTAGCTGCAGGACTGCGTGAGCGCCTGGCAGTGTGTGAGCAGAGCGATCCTCGTCACCGTGACTCCCAGCACGCTGCCGTCCTTACAGGTTTTATACTGAGACGAGACGGATCCATGAAATGAGACGAGAGGAAGGAGACAGAAGTTAGAATTAGGTTTTTAATGGACGTTGATTGTTTTTAATTGTTTTTGCTTTATATAATGTGGTGTTTTTAATCCTCAACACTTACTGACCTTTCTATAATAATAATGTTTTATTATTATTATGTCTTTTATTAGAGCACAGGCAGCAGCCAAGTGATTTGTGAGGTGGCCGGAACAATGTCAGCTCAAATTTAAGACACGCTGACGTCCCAGCTTCTGTTACGATGGAGAGGACACTGATTCACTGTGTGTGTGTGTGTGTGTGTGTGTGTGTGTGTGTGTGTGTGTGTGTGTGTGTGTGTGTGTGTGTGTGTGTGTGTG